TCTCTGAATTTCTGAATTTCTGAATTTCTGAATTTCTGAATTTCTAAATTTCTGAATTTCTGAATTTCTGAATTTCTGAATTTTTGAATTTCTGAATTTCTGAATTTCCGAATTTCCGAATTTCTGAATTTTTGAATTTCTGAATTTCTGAATTTCCGAATTTCTGAATTTCTGAATTTCTGAATTTTTGAATTTCTGAATTTTTGAATTTCTGAATTTCTGAATTTCTGAATTTCTGAATTTCTGAATTTCTGAATTTCTGAATTTCTGAATTTCTGAATTTCTGAATTTAGGAATTTAGGACATTCTGAATTTCTGAATTTCTGAATTTTTGAATTTCTGAATTTCCGAATTTCTGAATTTCTGAATTTCTGAATTTCTGAATTTCTGAATTTCTGAATTTCTGAATTTCTGAATTTCTGAATTTCTGAATTTCTGAGTTTCTGAATTTCTGAATTTCTGAATTTCTGAATTTATGAATTTAAGACATTCTGAATTTCTGAATTTCTGAATTTCTGAATTTCCGAATTTCTGAATTTCTGAATTTCTGAATTTCTGAATTTCTGAATTTCTGAATTTCCGAATTTCTGAATTTCTGAATTTCTGAATTTCTGAATTTCTGAATTTCTGAATTTCTGAATTTCTGAATTTCTGACATTCTGAATTTCTGAATTTCTGAATTTCTGAATTTCCGAATTTCTGAATTTCTGAATTTCTGAATTTCTGAATTTCTGAATTTCTGAATTTCTGAATTTCTGAATTTCTGAATTTCTGAATTTCTGAGTTTCTGAATTTCTGAATTTCTGAATTTCTGAATTTAGGAATTTAGGACATTCTGAATTTCTGAATTTCTGAATTTCTGAATTTAGGAATTTAGGACATTCTGAATTTCTGAATTTCTGAATTTTTGAATTTCTGAATTTCCGAATTTCTGAATTTCTGAATTTCTGAATTTCTGAATTTCTGAATTTCTGAATTTCTGAATTTCTGAATTTCTGAATTTCTGAATTTCTGAATTTCTAAATTTCTGAATTTCTGAATTTCTGAATTTCTGAATTTTTGAATTTCTGAATTTCTGAATTTCCGAATTTCCGAATTTCTGAATTTTTGAATTTCTGAATTTCTGAATTTCCGAATTTCTGAATTTCTGAATTTCTGAATTTTTGAATTTCTGAATTTTTGAATTTCTGAATTTCTGAATTTCTGAATTTCTGAATTTCTGAATTTCTGAATTTCTGAATTTCTGAATTTCTGAATTTCTGAATTTAGGAATTTAGGACATTCTGAATTTCTGAATTTCTGAATTTTTGAATTTCTGAATTTCCGAATTTCTGAATTTCTGAATTTCTGAATTTCTGAATTTCTGAATTTCTGAATTTCTGAATTTCTGAATTTCTGAATTTCTGAATTTCTGAGTTTCTGAATTTCTGAATTTCTGAATTTCTGAATTTAGGAATTTAGGACATTCTGAATTTCTGAATTTCTGAATTTCTGAATTTCCGAATTTCTGAATTTCTGAATTTCTGAATTTTTGAATTTCTGAATTTCTGAATTTCCGAATTTCTGAATTTCTGAATTTTTGAATTTCTGAATTTTTGAATTTCTGAATTTCTGAATTTAGGAATTTAGGACATTCTGAATTTCTGAATTTCTGAATTTTTGAATTTCTGAATTTCCGAATTTCTGAATTTC